ATATATTATATATTACTTGATTAATACTTTAATCTATATAATGATTTATGTCAGTATATTATATTAATAATTTGACCCTTTTGACACAATAAATCACGTCACAACATAGACTTTTTCAATTCTGACTTTCAGTGATTTGAAAGACTACTTAAAAATGTTCATGTAAACTACTACAGCTCAAGTTCATGTCTTCTTAGCTGTCCAGGAGATGCCGCATCGTTGAGTGAGAGGCTGACTTTTTGCCTATCACATCGCAAGTTTTCCCACTACCCTGAGGAAGCTACTACCCTATGATTAGCCTCTCAGCCAATGATGTGTCGTCACCTGGACAGCCAAGAAGCCAACTTAGAAATGTTAGTTTCAAACACTATTGATATCAAATATTATTTTTTTTACAACACTCATCCGTTTTGTGGCTCTGACTTGATTTTAATTTTTTTTTATTTTGATATTTTACACTTGTATATTTCTGTCATTACATTTCTTTTTTCTTCTTCTTTTTTTTTCTTTTTTATAAAAGGTTCATCCTGTTTATTGAAATAAATAAATATAATAAAAATAAATATATCTCTGTATACCTTCTCATTTTATCAGTAACAGATTCAAAATATCCGCATTATATTATTGCAAATTGTATTAGAATTCTTCAGGTATCTCACGAGACTCTGTTTACCACCTCTACCCCAAGAGCGGGAAATTTAAATTTGCTATATTTGAAAGCTCACGGATTTTAATAATACTCTCAATAAACAAATAATGTTATGAACAATATTGAGAGCCCAAGTAAATTATTTAATTTTCATAGTTTAAACAGTTCATCTTATTCTTTCTTCTCTTTCTTTTTCATTTAAAATTCTTTTTCTTCCCTTAGTTTTATTTTGTTAATTCCAAGTACCAAATGGTTTCTAATTCAAAAGTGAAATGTCTCTTAATTATAATTACGAACAGAACTTATTAAAATGACAGTAAAATAAATCAGTTTCTTTTATTTTATTCCACATGACAGGCTCAGATGGATGGACAAAACATAAATAATAAACGGAAAGAAATATAGTTTCAAATTCTCAATCAGGTCTATTAGTTTTCATTTCTGTGGACCTCCATTCAATATATCCTGTTCTTATTTTGATTAAAAATGTTGAACAATTACATAAACTGTCCTGACCCCTTGTCATAAATAAACCTAGATTTTCCAGGCAGGAATCTTAGATCATCAATGTTCTTCACCACCAGCACATTTTCAAAAAAGTCTCATTCAATGAAACATTTAGTAGAAGTACCAAAAAAAGCCAACACAGTTCCAACAACATTAGCTTTAAAAACAATTATCTAACTTTTGTTTCTACTCCACAATATTCTTGGAAGTGACAATTTTATGATATTAATTTTATGTAAATGCTGATCTTTAGTTATATGTAATTTGTGTAAAATATTCATCTCAATTGTGCTTTGATATTGTAGAGGCCCCTTCTCTTATTAAAATAATTATTTAATTCTGTGTTTTTTATTTTTTTATAAATATCTGAGCTTGCTTCAGTCTGTGAGTTTTGGAAAGTGGCAAGCATACATACAAATAAAGCTACAATGTGGTATTAAAAATTCACGCGAGGGAGTGGTAGATTGATGTTTAGTATAATTGTTTTACTACAAGACATTACAGTCATAAAGGCATTGGAGTGGCAGAAAAAAATTTGATGCAGCTTCAGCAAGTTTTGCCAGTCATCACATCACCTTCAGACTCTCATGTCCCAGCCAGTTCTCACAGGCAAATGTTTTGCTCTTGCCTGCTGTTTGCATTTGTATTCACACCCCTGTCTTAAGTACTGAAGTAAGCAAATTTGTCAACCATCAGGAAAGTTGTTTTGATACACAATCTTTGCTCCAAAAAAGCCCTTTCTTCTTGAACTCTTTTCTTTTCGTTGATTTTTTACTTAAGAGATGGGAGAAAAAAAAAAGAATTCAACTCACATCAGAATTCAAAAAAGACTCCTCTATGTTGTCAACTGGTTCTTCTTTAATCTAAAGAAAAATAAAATAAAACTAATAAACAATTTAATTATGCAATAAAACTTCATCAGCATACAATATCTCTACTTCATTTCCACAACTTACATATAATGTCCAAACAGAATAAGACAAAAATACTTTTATTCCTGATGATGTCCTATATAACATTTAAAATAATCTATTTGTTTACTTATCTGGATTACCCAGTTTAATTTATGGCCTGAAATCATAACTTGGAAATATATGTCTGAAGTCCTATTTATTATCAGAAATAGAGACAGAGTGTACCATTTGTTTCAAAAAATCAATTAAATAACGCATTAACACATTTCATAAGGAGTTTGTGCACCCTCAAACGTTAAAGCACTATCGAGCTTCTGCCCATGTGTAGTTCGAGTTTCGCACCACTTCTTTAGTTCATCTGTACATGCACAGAAGATCGACAGTTCTGGTCGTGCACTAACACAGTAACACTATGGTGTGCACTAACACAGTAATGTAAATTTTTGCATAAATAGTGAGATTTTATGGTGACCAATAAAATGCTGAACATATCCCGAAATGTGTCAGTGTTATTACATTTCTAGGAGAACCTTTCAAACTTTTCAGGAGGGACATGACATGATACTCCTCGCCTAACTGTGCATGTCTATGTGTGCATGTGTGCATCTGTGCATGTCTATGTGTGGCCCTCTGAAGCTTCCTTATACATGTCGAAGTTAATTATGTGACTCTGGTCTTTGCCCTAAGTGATTAACATGAAACATCTTTGAATCTGCTCAATGTATTTTATTTTAAAGCACTTTTAACTTTTTCACACACCACATACGTCACATACATTATATAGA